TCTGCCAGGACAATAGGAAAATGCCTTTTTCATCTGATTTACTCTTTAGGTAAATTCTTTATTTCCAAAAAGAATCAAATACTCCATTAGGAGCACATGGGATGGGGGGGTAGCATGTCTGGCACCCACAGATCCTTCAGAAAAAGTCAGGGAAGTGCCTCGTGAGACACGGATGCATGTGACCACATCAATCTTTGTCTCGGTATCTGTTACAATGCATTTTCTACCCAGTCTTAGTACAGTCAGCAAGGATGGAAAGATAAAAGTCTATTTGTTTTTTCATAAAAGTTGTCTTTAAATATTAATTTCGATACTCCTCTAATGATGAAATGTACACAAGTACACTTTAAGAGGCTTGAAAAGTAAAAAGAAGACAAACATTAGTTACCAGAATCCCACAACCCATATACACGGCATGATGTCTTTTAAGAAAATTACAGACTAACCTTCCCTTCAGTAAAGTCATTACAAAATCTCGGATGCTTTTCCAGGAGCTCCAGACAGCATCAAGACACCATGGATTCACTCAGTGGACCAATCAGCCACTTCACAGTCGATCTGTACCAACAGATCAGACAGACATCAACCGGGAAGAATATCTTCTACTCCCCCCTCAGCATCATGTCAGCCTTTGGCATGCTTTACTTGGGGTCCCGAGGAAACACTGCTGCACAACTTCAGAAGGTAGGTGGCAGCTTCCTTTACCTGGAACAGTTGGCACTGGTTCCCCTGTTGTCTTGTGTGCAGATGGTCCCAGATCTGGCTGTCCCCAGGGCTCACACAGAGAGCCGCAAGCAGCCGCGTGACTGGGTGGGCCTGGAGTGCTGGGGGACACACGTCTCCCCCAGTACCTGGCCCCCTCTGCTTCCCTGAGCCCAGACCTCCTCTGGGACCCGCATGAACCCCTACAACTGCCCCCAACCCGAGGGGAAGAGCTCAGGTAGAAGTGACACATTGACTACACTCCGTGGGAGACAGCTTGGCGTGCTCCCTCTGCAGTGAGTGAAGATGAATCAGGAGTCTTTGAAGCGGCTGGTGATCAGCCCGCTTTGCTGTGTCGTCAAGGAGCAAAATGCTTACACTTTGCTTTGCGTTCTTCTTGAGTCTTTGTTTCTTTATTGATTTTTACTTTAGTTTGCTTTGGGCTTCTCTTTTGTTTGTTTTCTTCGGTTCTTGCTTCCTCTGTCTCTCTTTGATGAAGGGAGGTCTTTAGAGTAAAGTTCCCTCGTCCCACTTCCTGTCTCCCGCAGGCCCTTCACTTTAAGGAAGTCGCAGAGAACCCAACAGCAGGAGCCACAGCGGATCCCGTGAGTCCCGGGGCACGTGGGCCTGGAAGGAGATCACACAGCCAAGACGGTCACAGGAACACTGGGAATTTCAGATAAACGGAGAAGAGTGTCTTTTCAGGGGAATCTTAAGCCAAGTAGATGGGACAGATTGTTTCTCATTTCAATTTACATACTTATTTAATTCATCTGTTTTCCTGAGAGGTGATTAGCTTCTGCTTAACAGCAGGTGCTCTGGAGCCCAAAGGTAGCTTCGAATTCCTGCTCTGCTCTTCACAAATGGGGAACGTGGCAAAATACAACTACTCTGGGCCTCAGAGAACTCATCTCGATGAAAGATTTCTGCTGTACATGCAAATACATGCAAAGCATGACAGCAGTGCCTGGACAACAAAAAGCCTGCTAGGTGATACATACTGTTATTATAATAACCATAATGATGGTAATCACGATACGTTACTAAAATTGCAAAATTTTACTTAGCTCATAGATAAAAGTGAAAGTAACCATAAGTTCAGGTATACTTTGGAAAATGTTTGAATGAGAGTTCTGGTATGCAGTCCAAATGCTCCATAACTTTTAGAGCAAGTAGAGGTTCTAGATTCAGACAGGCCTGTGTTGAAAACATGGCTCTGCCACATTTGTTCTCCAGGGAGAAGTTTTTTACTTATCTGAGCTTTCCTGATTTCATGTCAGTTGGACTAAATAAAGAGATGCTGATGGAAAGCCGTTAGCAGTGTACCCGCCACACATGGCTCCTAAGCCAGAGTGTGGTGGTCATGAGTGAACAGCCATTGAGCACAATCTGTAGGTCTTAGAAGCTAATCCCACCAAGAGGTACAAGGGGGCTTCACGTCACAACATAGGAAATGATGCAAATTAGACACTCCTGTACCACTGGTGACCATTAGAGATGCAGTCTCGTTCTAGCCCTTATGGTTACCTAGGAAGCCAAATCTGACTGTGAGACAATGAAGGCACAGCCAGCAGTGCAATGGTGCTGCATCTCTGGTTCAAAGGAGAAACGTTTGGAGTATGTTAGAGCACCAGGAATTTCTGAGAAGGTTGAATGGAAGGATTTTGAAGGATATTTGAGGTAAAATACACCCCAATTGAATGATAACAGCAAACCTTATTGATGGGGATGCCAAAATATAGGCACAGATCTGACAGACTTAGGTGGGTTTACTATTTATATCGAGAGAAACTGATGAGCTCTCGTTTTGATGTTTGAAGGCTGAAAATCCAGAAAATCATCAGTTTCAAAAGCTTCTGACTGAATTAAACAAACCCACCGATGCCTATGAGCTGAGCGTCGCCAACAGGCTCTATGGCAGAAAGGAGTTTCCCTTCCTTCAGGTGAGTTTCCCTGGCCTGCCCACACCTTTCATCCGCATCCTGGTCCTCGGCCCCCCGGTCTCTAAGTGGGGGAGGAGAGGCAGGGGAGCCTGGCTGACCCCCACGGAGAGCATTTACCCTGGAGACATCGGGCTCCCGCACCACAACCCACCCTT